TTTGTATATTTATGCATTTACTTATTTGTATTTATATTAGAAGAATAAATTGGAATCTCAAAGACTTAAGTGAATTAAAATTAAATCACTTTTCAATAAATGTTTTTTTTTTTTATTTAGTGTTTATATATTCGTAACAACAAACAAATCTTATAAAATTATCTGAAAAATATTTAATTTATTACAAAATAATAATTTTAAATAATGAAAAAAATTAAAAAAACAAAATTTTAAGAGATTTTTATACTGGTCAGTTATATAAATAATTTATATCAACATTTCATTAAAAAAATGTGGCATACATTTAGGCATATCCTATTAAGCAAAAGTGTTGCATGAACAGAAAATATAAAATGATATACATACATAAGTAGTCATTTGATTAATATATCAATGTATCACACACTTAGTTATATGTTTTTAGTACAAATTGTACAATGTTTGTAATAAATTAGTTTTATTTTCCCCTTTTGATAGAGTATTTAATTATCATAGTAGTTCGTAGACTATTTATATACATTTGTTAAAATTAATTTAAAATATACATACATTGTGTTAAACAATTAAGATTTATTTTTAAATTTTATTAACTACTTTATTAAATGACAATTATTTAATATGAAGTCTACTTGTTAGTTCAATTTTCAAGGATTTTTAATGCGAATATGAAATGAGAATTTTTCATATTTAATATTTCAAATTTAGTGCAGAATGTAAAAAAATATTGATTTTATAGTTTTTATTTGCGTGACAATATTGTTTTTAACTTGCATGAAAGTAATAATGAAAACAAATTGTTTTGTGAATCATTTTTTTATTAAATTAGTTAAATTTGAATTGAAGGTGAAAAACATTTAATTATTCAAAAAATTACTAGTCAAAGGCAATTTCATCATCCTTAAATTAGGATTTTTATTTTTAACTTTTACATAAATCGATATATTTGTCATAAGACGCTTAATTTTTTGTTTGTTTTCTAATTATAGAATAATTTTCTATATTTCGTAGTTAATAGTTATAATAACAAATGGAATGGCATATTATTTACATAAAGAAATTAATTTCAATATTTTTGTTGTTATTGACAAATGCGTACAAGAAGTGCCAGACTATAAGTAAATTATTATTTTGTTTTGTAACCTTGACCTTTTTTATTTTTAATCAAAAAACTTGACAAGTATTTTGCTATATTAATTTTTAAAATTTTCATGTTGAATTTTTATAAATTATAAAAAAAATTATTAAGATTTTTATTTAGCTTCTTGAAAAATGTAGTTAAGCTTTTAATATGTATATACAGCAATTAGAATTCTAAAAATTATTTTGTTTAAAAATATTGCCTATTTTTCAAAACTCGTGAAAATTGATTAAAAACTTGTTATAATTTTATTAAAATTGGCCTAAAATAATGATAGTAATAAAAACTGCTGATATTCAAGAATATTCCAGGAATTAGTTTTTTTCTAATTAATTGTATTGCCTATTTTTAGGAGCGTATGAATATTTTCATTGAAATATTTTTTTCCAGAGAAAAGTTTGGAATCCTAAAACATAATAAACTTTCTGAAAATAAAACTTTTAATCGAGCAGCATATCAATCTATAAACATAGCAAACTTTATTCTTAATTAATTGTCATTTATGTGTTTAAAGTAGTTACATTTTTAATTAATAGTTTATTTATTTTTTCCCCAAACAATTTCATAACTAATAGGTACATATTTTTATTATTTACTAAATATTTACAAAAAAAAAGTTTATTTTCAAGGAACTTTTAGTTCATCTGTTTTTGTAAGTTTTGTATGTTTTAATAAATTTCTTAAAATTTTGATAACATTTACAACAGACATACTCCAACACTCATACCAAAATACAATAACTACAGATTTATTTCTCTAAACTATAAAAATTTTCCTTCATATACACATTCATACACACCTTGAAACCTTAAAAATAATTTTTTTTCTAGGGAATAACGAGTATATACATGGGCAAGGATATTTTCAATTGAAAAGAAAATTTACTTAAAGTTAAAAAATAAAAAGATTCTAAACTAGTGCTTTTCGCTTGGACAAAAAACTGCAGTTTGCATTTGAAAATGTGTGGATTTGGGTTATAATTTGTTTGAATATTAAGAGGAGTTTCATAGTAAGAGAATGTCTTTTAAAAGTTAAGCTAAGAAATTTCATTAGAAAAATATTTTTTCAGCTGTTAAACTTTAGATTTTGAGAAAAATTGGCAAATCAATAGACTAGTCAAGCTAGTCAATAGAACTGAACTAGAACTGAACTAGAACTGAACTAGAACTGAACTAGAACTGAACTAGAACTGAACTAGAACTGAACTAGAACTGAACTAGAACTGAACTAGAACTGAACTAGAACTGAACTAGAACTGAACTAGAACTGAACTAGAACTGAACTAGAACTGAACTAGAACTGAACTAGAACTGAACTAGAACTGAACTAGAACTGAACTAGAACTGAACTAGAACTGAACTAGAACTGAACTAGAACTGAACTAGAACTGAACTAGAACTGAACTAGAACTGAACTAGAACTGAACTAGAACTGAACTAGAACTGAACTAGAACTGAACTAGAACTGAACTAGAACTGAACTAGAACTGAACTAGAACTGAACTAGAACTGAACTAGAACTGAACTAGAACTGAACTAGACTGAACTAGAACTGAACTAGAACTGAACTAGAACTGAACTAGAACTGAACTAGAACTGATCTAGAACTGATCTAGAACTGAACTAGAACTGAACTAGAACTAGAACTGAACTAGAACTGAACTAGAACCTGAACAGAACTGAACTAGAACTGAACTAGAACTAACTAGAACTGAACTAGAACTGAACTAGAACTGAACTAGAACTGAACTAGAAACTGAACTAGAACTGAACTAGAACTGAACTAGAACTGAACTAGAACTGAACTAGAACTGAACTAGAACTGAACTAGAACTGAAACTAGACTGAACTAGACTGACTAGACTACTAGAACTGAACTAGAACTGAACTAGAACTGAACTAGAACTGAACTAGAACTGAACCTAGAACTGAACTAGAACGGAACTAGAACTGAACTAGAACTGAACTAGAACGGAACTAGAACTGAACTAGAACTGAACGAGAACTGACTAGAACCTGAACTAGAACTGAACTAGAACTGAACTAGAACGAACAACCTGAAACGAACTGAACTAGAACTGAACTAGAACTGAACTAGAACTGAACTAGAACTGAACTAGACTGAACGTAGAAACTGAACTAGAAATGAACTAACTGAAACTAGAACTGAACTAGAACTGACTAGAACTGAACTAAGACACTGAACTAGAAATGAACTAGAAACTGAACTAGAACTGAACTAGAACTGAACTAGAAACTGAACTAGATGACTAGAACTAGAACTAGAACTAGAACTGAACTAGAACTGAACTAGAACTGAACTAGAACTGAACTAGAACTGAACTAGAACTGAACTAGAACTGAACTAGAACTGAACTAGAACTGAACTAGAACTGAACTAGAACCTGAACTAGAACTGAACTAGAACTGAACTAGAACTGAACTAGAACTGAACTAGAACTGAACTAGAACTGAACTAGAACTGAACTAGAACTGAACTAGAACTGAACTAGAACTGAACTAGAACTGAACTAGAACTGAACTAGCAACTGAACTAGAACTGACTAGAACTGAACTAGAACTGAACTAGAACTGAACTAGAACTGAACTAGAAACTGAACTAGAACGAACTAGAACTGAACTAGAACTGAACTAGAACTGAACTAGAACTGAACTAGAACTGAACTAGAACTGAACTAGAACTGAACTAGAACTGAACTAGAACTGAACTAGAACTGAACTAGAACTGAACTAGAACTGAACTAGAACTGAACTAGAACTGAACTAGAACTGAACTAGAACTGAACTAGAACTGAACTAGAACTGAACTAGAACTGAACTACAACTGAACTAGAACTGAACTGAACTAGAACTGAACTAGAACTGAACTAGAACTGAACTACAACTGAACTAGAACTGAACTAGAACTGAACTAGAACTGAACTAGAACTGAACTAGAACTGAACTAGAACTGAACTAGAACTGAACTAGAACTGAACTAGAACTGAACTAGAACTGAACTAGAACTGAACTAAAACTAGAACTGAACTAGAACTGAACTAGAACTGAACTAGAACTGAACTAGAACTGAACGAAACTGAACTAGAACTGAACTAGAACTGAACTAGAACTGAACTAGAACTGAACTAGAACTGAACTAGAACTGAACTAGAACTGAACTAGAACTGAACTAAACTGAACTAGAACTGAACTAGAACTGAACTAGAACTGAACTAGAACTGAACTAGAACTGAACTAGAACTGAACTAGAACTGAACTAGAACTGAACTAGAACTGAACTAGAACTGAACTAGAACTGAACTAAAAACTAACAACTAGAACTGAACTAGAACTGAACTAGAACTGAACTAGAACTGAACTAGAACTGAACTAGAACTGAACTAGAACTGAACTAGAACTGAACTAGAACTGAACTAGAACTGAACTAGAACTGAACTAGAACTGAACTAGAACTGAACTAGAACTGAACTAGAACTGAACTAGAACTGAACTAGAACTGAACTAGAACTGAACTAGAACTGAACTAGAACTGAACTAGAACTGAACTAGAACTGAACTACTGAACTAGAACTGAACTAGAACTGAACTAGAACTGAACTAGAACTGAACTAGAACTGAACTAGAACTGAACTAGAACTGAACTAGAACTGAACTAGAACTGAACTAGAACTGAACTAGAACTGAACTAGAACTGAACTAGAACTGAACTAGAACTGAACTAGAACTGAACTAGAACTAAACTAGAACTGAACTAGAACTGAACTAAACTAAAAAGCCTAGTCAACTGACTAGTCTAAAAACTAAAGACTATTCTACTAGTAAATATTAAAATAAATGGACTAGTAAAGAGACTAGCCAACAGATTATTCAATAGACTAGTCAACAAATTAATTCATAGACTAGTTCGTTAAGTAGTCAACGGTCTATATAACGGACTAATCATTAGACTAAACAACAAACTAGTCAGCAGACTTCTCAACAAATTAGTTAATAAACTAGTTAATAAACTAATCAAGGCCCTAGTTCAGATACCAATCAGCAGACTATTTAATATGTATTTGAAATTTTTGTTTGACCTAAAATAATTCAGTTCTAAAATAGAGGACATTTTAGTCTCTACTTTAAAATACTGTTAGGCATTAATTTTTATCCCTCTTTCCACTAATTCTCAATATGAAATTCCTTCTCACAAATCTTTCCACTTACTTAAGCCCACACAATTATCTATCTATTTGAATGCCTGCAAAAGCCAATTGTGATTAAGTGCTTCTATTGATAAAAATTTAAAAAAGAAAAATAAATTATTTATACAAGTTATTTTAAAGCCAAGTTTTATCATTAGTATGGCTTGTTGAAGATTTATTACCACTGACACCCACACCTACACCAGCAACAATTGTACTACTAGTGCTAGTACTGCTCGTATTATTAAATGAAGATGCATCTTTACAACTATCCGTGACATAATCGTTTGTATTCGTATTGAATAAAACAGATTTGACATTTGAATTTACATTTAAAATTAAGTTTAAATTGTTGTTCATGTTGCTGCCACTGTTGCCAATGCAGCTAATGTTATTACTGTTGCTGCCATTTGTCAAAGTATTATAGAGTAAACTTCCGTTTCCTTTTGTAGTTTGTTGTTGATTTTGTTGTTGCTGTAAATAATTTATGGTTTCATTCGTTTGTAGTGTGTGCTGTGGTTGCTGTTGCAATATATATTGTTTTTCATTAGCATCCTCCTCCTGCTGTTGTTGTTGTTGTTGTCAGGACATTAATGCTGTACGATTTGTTAAATAATTTTTATCTGCTGCCCCATTATAAGCGGCTGAACTTGTCTCTAGTGATGTGGTTTCGGTTACAGAGGTGGATGGTGCTGTTGCTGTCCATCTAACACTTGACCGTTGATTTGCTTTGATAAGAAAATCTTTGGAATTGTTGGTTAAAGTATTACCCTGTCCATTGCCACTTAATGCAGACAATTCATGTGTGTTTTTCATATTGTTCATACCTCCACTAGTTACAGGTGTTTTTAGACTACAACGTTGATGGTATGTTGAGTTATGATGATGATAATTGCCTCCGCCTAGGCCTGGTCCTGTCCTTAGGGTTGTTATGGGCGCTGAGTGTCGCACACCGTCACGCTGTGTTGCTATAGTTGAACTGCGTAAAATTCCTGTAACATTATTTTTTTGGGAAGAAATAGAAAAAGAAAAACTCATTAATTAAAAATATATATTTTGTATGTAGGCGTGTGTGTGCGATATACATATGTGTGTATGTATGTATATCACATGTTTGTTGAAACGGAAATAAAGAATTTTTTTCGTTTTTAACCAATTAAAACGGAAATTCATTGTTTTTTCGTTGGGCTTTTACGTGCTGGTTTGTAAGCTTAGTATATTACTGATTTCCATTTTTGTACCTGTGTACTAGAGTTCGCCTAAGATTTTTTCGCATTGTTGTTTTTGAATATTTTTTTTCCTAAATAATACTAGTGACTGCCAATTTCATAGAACGTTTTAATTGACAACTGTTATGATTTTTAAGATTTTGGATTTAATTTATTCTTGAAAATTTTGCTTAAAATACAGCACTTAATTTTATTAAATTAAGAAATTAAAAAAAAGAAATTGCAAAAATTTTAAAGTTTGACCTCTGACCTCGAACATTGAAGATTTAGTTACATTATCCTGATTTTCAAAATATATTTCTTTTTGTGTTTAAATTCTACTAATATATTGATCGTTTTTGACAAATTTTGTTGATAGATTTCCAAATGTCAAATATTTGACCTTCGACCTCAGACTGATTTCGGTTTTTTAAGAGATTTTCTTAAATTCATTCTTTTATAGTTTTTTATTCCAAATTTCAAATATTTGACCTTTGACCTCAGGCTGATTTCGTTTTATTTTTAAGAGATTTACTAAACACCTCCAATAAATATCAAATTTTCATTTCCATTTTAGAGAAATTCTTAAAATTACAAACATATTTCAATCAATTATAATATTTTTGTAAAAATGTTTTTTTAAAAATTTGACCTCCAACCTTAGACGTTTAAAGCTGACATTAGCCTAATTCTTTATAGCTATCAAAAATATATTTCCTTTTCTGTTTAAATTCTTCTAATTTTGATCGGTTTAGATAAATTTTTTGATACATTTCCAAATTTAGAATATTTGACCTTTGACCTCTGGCTGATTTCGACTCATTTTTAAGAGATTTATTTAAATTCTTCAATAAATATATAATTTTTGGTTCTATTTTATAGTTATTCTAAAAATTCGAAATCTTGACCTTTAACCTTTTTTGAAAATATTACAAGAATAGTTTTGTTTTTCTTTAATTTAGATCCGAAAATGCGTTTTGAAATAAATTAAAATATATTTTTTTTATTAATACTTACCACAATGTGAGATGCGTCGATTTTTTGGAGATCCCGGACAGGTGTATAGAAATGAACGTTGGGTATCTGATAAATCATAGAAATGAAATAAACAAAATTTTAATAATTAGCTCAAATTTTTGAGTGGAATTTGTATAGAAAAGTTTCATGAAAAGAAATGGTAAACTTACCATTTCTCTTAATACGATTATGATCGGGTGAACCCGAACATGAATAACGTGAAGTCATTTGATCGCGACGATTTAGACTCTCTGCACCTATATGGACGAACGGGCACCATCGAAAAAACATTTTAAAACCAAAACGAAATCTGCAAAGGAAATTGAAAAAAATGCTTATATTCAATCATTTTTAACCTTCAAAAGATAAACGAAATATTTTGAAATACAAATAAAATAAGTATGTATCAATATCGTAAAGGATAAGAGAATAAAGTTAATGTAAAAGTAAAACTGATTTCATATAAATACCTAACGTTGGCAAATATGAAAAAAGTCTTTTTGAAGGAGAAATTATTTCCCACTATTTAATTTTTCACAAATAAATATCCTAAACTAACTTTTTTAAATAAATGTAAGAACAAATTTCGCATTGCACCAAAAATGTTAGGAACAAAAGTTGACCTGTTAAATCCATTCAATCTACGCTTTTAAGATTTTACCCTTTCCCTATTACTTTTCAACTGAAGATATGTTGTCATTGCACAAGAATATAAATCTTCATTTTGCTTTATACACGTGTATAACATTTTTTTTATCTTACTCTTACTATTACTCAGGATATTGTTTCACAGAATTAAGAACATTAACAGGAATTTGCACTGAAGACATCATTTTACTTGTATGGCGGTTGAAATAATAACAGAGAAAATGCATTTACTCACATTTCACAAAACGGTAGCGTAGAGGGTAGATTGTACTGGAAATTATAGTGGATTTAAAATTAATACCAAATTGCAGTTATTTCTTTCAGTTAATTTTTCTTTTAAATAATTTATATCATTAAGTGCAAGAAAATTTAGTTTGAAGATATTATCAAATAAGATTATTTTTCAAAATATGGTATTAATATTAATCGTAAGATGTGGGAACATTTATTAGGAATCTTTTTAATATATTAAAATAAGTTCTACTGATTTAAACAAGTTTTATGAAAAATTTGTTGTACTAAATTTTAAAAGTGCCGTTTAAATATAAAATATTTTTCTTTAAAACCAGTACATTTCATTATTTATCTAAATTCAGTTTTTTTTTTTTGATTTTTAATTTTAAATCAACTTCAAATTCTGTTAACAGCGTGAATGCAGATGGCACAAATGCAAATTGAGATATTATGCTCATGCACATCTGCAGTGAGAAACAAAAATTAAATGATTTAAATCTGAATCTTCCTATTAATACAATTATACTATCTACTTTATAGACTGTTTTATAGACTATGACTAGACTATGACTAGACTATGACTAGACTATGAACTAGACTATGACTTGACTATGACTAGACTATGACTAGACTATGACTAGACTATGACTAGACTATGACTAGACTATGACTAGACTATGACTAGACTATGACTAGACTATGACTAGACTATGACTAGACTATGACTAGACTATGACTAGACTATGACTAGACTATGACTAGACTATGACTAGACTATGACTAGACTATGGACTAGACTATGACTAGACTAATGACTAGACTATGGACTAGGACTATGACTAGACTATGACTAGACTATGACTAGACTATGACTAGACTATGACTAGACTATGACTAGACTATGACTAGACTATGACTAGACTATGACTAGACTATGACTAGACTATGACTAGACTATGACTAGACTATGACTAGACTATGACTAGACTATGACTAGACTATGACTAGACTATGACTAGACTAATGACTAGACTATGACTAGACTATGACTATGACTAGACTATGACTAGACTATGACTAGACTAACTAGACTATGACTAGACTATGAATAGACTATGACTAGACTATGACTAGACTATGACTAGACTATGACTAGACTATGACTAGACTATGACTAGACTATGACTAGACTATGACTAGACTATGACTAGACTATGACTAGACTATGACTAGAATATGACTAGACTATGACTAGACTATGACTAGACTATGACTAGACTATGACTAGACTAGGACTAGACTATGACTAGACTATGACTAGACTATGACTAGACTATGACTAGACTAGACTAGACTATGATGACTAGACTATGACTAGACTATGACTAGACTATGACTAGACTATGACTAGACTATGAAAAAAACGGTCTAATGACAGGAAAATGTTCTAGTCTAGAGAAATGAAATAGGAAACAAGACACTCTAGGAAATTAAAAACAAGTGGAAATACTTCTGCTTTTCATTGTATTCCTTAAATTAAAAGTATGTTGTATATGAAAATACAGTAAATCCCACCAAACCGAACATCTTTGACAAGCAATCACCCGTAGAACATTGTTATAAAGAGTAGATATAATACAACCCACTCTTCCCTCTTTCATTCTTTAATGGCTGACATTGATGAGTGATTTAGTTGAAGGCGTCATGAAAAGTGGCAGCCACAAACTAACAATATTTACACACACACACACACGCAATCTCAGCCATATACATCAATTTCTAGACTTACATACATCTCTATTAAAAGAAAACACACACACACTTATTCACTTCTAAAGGATCTTAGGTTTTAGCGTAAAGTTTACACTTGAGCGTAATACTTTTAGTAATCTTTCAAATATTTACATTTCCTGTTTACCAACAGCATGTTTCCTCTTTTTTTTGTTCTTTTCTTATTTCTTTATCTACGTCTTGTTATGACTTTTTGCAATAAAAAGTTAAAGGAAAATAAGGATAGTAGTAGAACAAAAAATTTACTTACCGCGAATTCATCCAGCAGTATATAATCGGATTGTACATGGAATTACTCATCGCCAACCAGTATATGAATAAATACACCTCTTGTATGAAAGGTGTTTCCGTTATGGCTGGATAACAAGAAGTTAGTATGAAATACGTGTGGAATGGTAACCAGCAAACAGCAAATATTAATACCACAACCATCATCATTTTTACCACCTGTGTATTAAATTAAAATAAAATATAAATACTTGGAAGATATGTAAGTGAGTGTGTGGTTTAAAAGAAAAGTTATATATTTTTTGGTTTGTACTTTGTTTGGCAAGTTATGGGTTTAATTAAAAATATTTAGATCTTCCTTTTGTTATTTTTGTTTACAATACAATTTACAAAATGCTTAATAGAAAACTTGGGGAATATATTGCTTAGAAAGCAAATCTAAAATAGGTACAATAATATTAAAAAGGTCTAGTATGAATATCTAAGATAAGAAATAAAGTAAAAAGGATGAGATTTATGCTAATCGGACAAGTCTGATTCCTTAGCCTTAGACGACGACAAAGACCATAGTCAAGTCATAGTCTAGTCATAGTCAAGTCATAGTGTAGTAATAGTCTAGTCATAGTCTAGTCATAGTCTAGTCATAGTCTAGTCATAGTCTAGTCATAGTCTAGTCATAGTCTAGTCATAGTCTAGTCATAGTCTAGTCATAGTCTAGTCATAGTCTAGTCATAGTCTAGTCATAGTCTAGTCATAGTCTAGTCATAGTCTAGTCATAGTCTAGTCATAGTCTAGTCATAGTCTAGTCATAGTCTAGTCATAGTCTAGTCATAGTCTAGTCATAGTCTAGTCATAGTCTAGTCATAGTCTAGTCATAGTCTAGTCATAGTCTAGTCATAGTCTAGTCATAGTCTAGTCATAGTCTAGTCATAGTCTAGTCATAGTCTAGTCATAGTCTAGTCATAGTCTAGTCATAGTCTAGTCATAGTCTAGTCATAGTCTAGTCATAGTCTAGTCATAGTCTAGTCATAGTCTAGTCATAGTCTAGTCATAGTCTAGTCATAGTCTAGTCATAGTCTAGTCATAGTCTAGTCATAGTCTAGTCATAGTCTAGTCATAGTCTAGTCATAGTCTAGTCATAGTCTAGTCATAGTCTAGTCATAGTCTAGTCATAGTCTAGTCATAGTCTAGTCATAGTCTAGTCATAGTCTAGTCATAGTCTAGTCATAGTCTAGTCATAGTCTAGTCATAGTCTAGTCATAGTCTAGTCATAGTCTAGTCATAGTCTAATTTAGTTATAGTCAAGGTCCCTGTTATGAAAACTTTATTTCCATGTAAGAAAAATTATATAAAAATCATAATTAAAACAATTACTTACACGTCTCTTACTCTTGACATTCTCCACTTGTCGCGGTGTATATTCTCCAATCGCTTTAGAACCCCATAATTCAATACCTACACGGGAGTAGGTAACACTCATCGAAATGATTGGTAGGAAGTATGTGAGTATCATAAATAAGATGTTGTAACTAGGGAACAATAAAAGAATTAAAAGAAATATTATTAAAAGAAAATTTAAAAAACATTTAGAACACGTTCGATAATAAATATATGTATATAAGAAGGTGTAGAAATGTAATTTTAAAATGGATTAACAGTGAGAGCAATTTTATGAAACATACAAATATGACACGTGTTAATTTTGACAATGAGTAATCGAAATAATAACAAAAACACTTCAATTTCAAACAATTTATTTGAAAAAAAATACATTTTTATTTTTCATATTTCTCCCAAAACCCAGTTGGAGTGCTATTTAGTTTGTTTTTATAATTGGCTTTTTATGTTTTCTATAAAATATTTAAATTTGTTTGTTTTCTTATAAAAAAATGTTGTTTATAAAAATCTTTGTTTGTTTAAAGGCCATTGTTACTAAAACAAGTTGTTTGTTTTATTGTTTTTCTTACAGACCTTGGATACCTAAGTTAAACAACAAGGTGTAATAAAAATTTTAATTATATCAAGAAAAAATTTATAAAAAAAGTGATTAAAAGGTAAGTTCAATATAATTTTTATAGTTTATATTGATAAATTTTTGAAGTCACATTTCTAAAATGTGATTTTTATAGATTTTCTTACAATATCTTTAAATGTTTTATATTATTTAATTGCAAACGATTCCTATCATTTTACTATAAAATTTCCTTTGTAAAAGAAATTACTGTAATTTTCATATGCATATTTAATTTCTCAAATGTTTAAGAAAATCAGCATTAAGACTTACTTTGAAAAATTACTCTAAATTCTCTTTTTGCTAAATTCTTCATAAATCAATTTTTGATTATAATTAGACTATAATTTCCAAATGAAATGAATAATTATTTTACATGTGTACGCATAACTGTCATTATAATTTCACAAATTAAACTTATATTCTAGTTTTAGTTCAGTTTCTGTCATTAATATAAAGATATTTTATTTAGCCTTTTTTGCTTTTATGTCAGAAACATTATAAATATTAACATCCATCTAGGCGTTCAAACATTCATACAAATATACATGAGGACTCATAAATTAAATCTTTAACACATTCATACATATACCCCATCCTTGTATCCTTCCCAAGTAGAGTTTTATAAAGAGTATTGCGTAGTATTCATATTGCAAAACACTTCAAACGTTAATTGAAATCATCATCAAACAATTATAATGGAGAAGAGGGAAAGCAATATAAGTAGATGTTGATGATGGTGATGGTAGTTTAACTCAAGCACAAAATGTATGTACATACTATATACAAACATATCTAGTTAACTTGCACCTTTGTAAAAGGAAAAAGGAGCAACAAAAAGGCAGCCACATGAAAATATACACATGAACTGTGATGTTGCGAGAAATTTAAAATGGGTTACAGCAGTTGGGGAAATTTCATTTTAGGAAGAAAATTACAATCGGGAATTTTTTCGCAAATAAAAAATTTTCTATAATTGGAGAATTTTCATTATATAAAGAGAATTTATCGCAAATTGAATATGGAAATAAAATAAAATTTATAAAAATTTGTCAAATTGAATGTAATAAAGAAATAAAAGAAAAGTTTGAAAAATTTTCTATTACAAGAGACAAAAATATTCTGTATAAACTGAAGATTTTGAAAATTTCGAAATTTTGCGTGAATACAGACATATGTATTTCGGAAATATTCGAAAAAAAAATACAATTTTTCTATAAAATGGTGCAAATTTTGAAAATTTTTCATAATAAAGAACATTTTTCTATAAAAAAGAAAAAAATTTCTTTAAAAAAATCCAAATAAATTATTTAAAAGAGAAAATTTCCTATAAAAAAGATAAATGTACGAAAATTTTCTGTACAAAAGAGATTATATCAAAAATTTCTATAGAAAATAGTAAAAAAACCATTTTTTTTTTATAAAAAAAGAGAAATTTATTGAAATTTTAGTAAATTTCCTACATAAAAGCCAAAAAATTAAAATTTATGAAAAAGAAATAAAGAATAAAGTTTTAATAAAAAAGAGACAATTTTGAAAATGTTCTATAAAAAAGAGAAAAATTTCTATAACAAAGAGGTATTAGTTAGTTAGTTAGTTAGTTAGTTAGTTAGTAGTTAGGTAGTAGTTAGTAGTTAGTTAGTTAGTAGTTAGTTAGTTAGTTAGTTAGTTAGTTAGTTAGTTAGTTAGTTAGTTAGTTAGTTAGTTAGTTAGTTAGTTAGGTTAGTTAGTTAGTTAGTTAGTTAGTTAGTTAGTAGTTAGTTAGTTAGTAGTTCGTTAGTTAGTTAGTTAGTTAGTTAGTTAGTTAGTTAGTAGTTAGTTAGTTAGTTAGTTAGTTAGTTAGTTAGTTAGTTAGTTAGTTAGTTAGTTAGTTAGTTAGTTAGTTAGTTAGTTAGTTAGTTAGTTAGTTAGTTAGTTAGTTAGTTAGTTAGTTAGTTAGTTAGTTAGTAGTTAGTTAGTTAGTTAGTTAGTTAGTTAGTTAGTTAGTTAGTTAGTTAGTTAGTTAGTTAGTTAGTTAGTTAGTTAGTTAGTTAGTTAGTTAGTTAGTTAGTTAGTTAGTTAGTTAGTTAGTTAGTTAGTTAGTTAGTTAGTTAGTTAGTTAGTTAGTTAGTTAGTTAGTTAGTTAGTTAGTTAGTTAGTAGTTAGTTAGTTAGTTAGTTAGTTAGTTAGTTAGTTAGTTAGTTAGTTAGTAGTTAGTTAGTTAGTTAGTTAGTTAGTTAGTTAGTTAGTTAGTTAGTTAGTTAGTTAGTTAGTTAGTTAGTTAGTTAGTTAGTTAGTTAGTTAGTTAGTTAGTTAGTTAGTTAGTTAGTTAGTTAGTTAGTTAGTTAGTTAGTTAGTTAGTTAGTAGTTAGTTAGTTAGTTAGTTAGTTAGTTAGTTAGTTAGTTAGTTAGTTAGTAGTTAGTTAGTTAGTAGTTAGTTAGTTAGTTAGTTAGTTAGTTAGTTAGTTAGTTAGTTAGTAGTTAGTTAGTTAGTTAGTTAGTTAGTTAGTAGTTAGTTAGTTAGTTAGTTAGTTAGTTAGTTAGTTAGTTAGTTAGTTAGTTAGTTAGTTAGTTAGTTAGTTAGTTAGTTAGTTAGTTAGTTAGTTAGTTAGTTAGTTAGTTAGTTAGTTAGTTAGTAGTTAGTTAGTTAGTTAGTTAGTTAGTTAGTTAGTTAGTTAGTTAGTTAGTTAGTTAGTTAGTTAGTTAGTTAGTTAGTTAGTTAGTTAGTAGTTAGTTAGTTAGTTAGTTAGTTAGTTAGTTAGTTAGTTAGTAGTTAGTTAGTTAGTTAGTTAGGTTAGTTAGTTAGTTAGTTAGTAGTTAGTTAGTTAGTTAGTAGTTAGTTAGTTAGTTAGTTAGTTAGTTAGTTAGTTAGTTAGTTAGTTAGTAGTTAGTTAGTTAGTAGTTAGTTAGTTAGTTAGTTAGTAGTTAGTTAGTTAGTTAGTTTAGTTAGTTAGTTAGTTAGTTAGTTAGTTAGTTAGTTAGTTAGTAGTTAGTTAGTTAGTTAGTTAGTTAGTTAGTTAGTTAGTTAGTTAGTTAGTTAGTTAGTTAGTAGTTAGTTAGTTAGTAGTTAGTTAGTTAGTTAGTTAGTTAGTTAGTTAATAACTTTCCATAAAAAGTTAATTTTCTAATAGAAAGGTAAAATTTCTAGAAAATTTTTATAAAAAAGGTGAAATTATGAAATTTTTTGTAAAAGAGGGAATTATTCTACAAATAAAACCGAAAAGTTTTCGAATATTCTATAAAGAAAATATTTTTTAAAATATTTATTAAAAAGTACAATTTTCGAAAACTTTATAGCAAATTTTTTGAAACAACAAGAAATTAGTGAAGAATTTCTACAGTTTAGGAAATAAATTAGAATTTGTCTATTCGCTTGCGCTTAAAAAAAGGCTACAACTCTACATGCTTCGTTTAAAATCCTTCCACGAAAACCCCCTTAATTTTCTTTTGATTAAACAAATATTACAACTTTAACAAACCTACATGTATGGATGCCAGTGTAACTGAACAAATATTAATGGAAAAAAATCGTTTAACATCAGATTTCAATATAAATTTTTTTGATTTCCAAAGTATTTTCCAAAAATAACGTCCTTCACAGTGTGTGTGCCAAAGTAATTACAAACAAATTTTTCCACTTGAAAAACAAGAAAACATGAAGCCAGCTACATCATTCGAAATCAAAATCGGTTTAATTAGGCAAATGAAAATAAACAACAAGAAACAAACAGGAGAGAACAGAACAGAACAGGTGTGGGTAAATTTTCAAATATAAATTAGCAAGAAAAAAATTCAGGAAACATGAAATATGTTGATTTGTTTTGTTAAAAACAATGTAGTTCCTTTTAGCTTCTTCAGCGACTAAATCGTTTTTCCACACAGAGATTTTTTTACACACTCACACACACATGCTTACTGGCAACATTATAATCCTTTGTACCAAGTCTCCTACAGTTTCCACACAGTTGAGTAATTTAATTCTTATTAATACTTACATGTATTCATGATGTGAATGATTTGTTGAACCATCTGGCCATTCAGAGTAGCAAACTGTACGTAGACCATCTTTGCTGGGTATAACATCGGTGGTGAAGAACAGCAGCATTGGACACGATATAATGGCCGATACCAGCCATATGACTGCAGCAATTGCCAAATTGTTACGTTTACTCATACGTGGTTTCAGAGGTTTCATTATGGCCACATACCTTTAGGAGTAGAAGTGGAAGAAAATTAAATAAAAATTTTATAATTTGATAAGGGAATTTGATTAAAAAAAGGCAAACTTTCGAAAAATTTCTAAAAAATAGATAATTTGGAAAATTTTATAAAAAAAAGTAATAATTTCGAGACAAAAGTGAAAATGTCGAAAATTTTCTAAAAAATAGGGAACATTTTAAAATTTTCTAAAACAAGAGAAAATTTCGAAATTTTTCTTTTTTTCATCTTTTTTTCTATAGAAAATTTACGAATTTTAGTTTTTTTCAAGAAAATGTTTTAAAAATTTCTAGAAAATTTTTTCGCTTACTGAAAAGTTTTTCAAAAATTGTTGAGTGGACATTTTCAAAAATTCTCTAATTATTACACATTTTCCAATAATTTTTCCGCTTTATAACTTCTCATAAAAAATCCATTTAAAATTATATACATATATTTTTGTACTTTGTGCATATTTACTTATGTTTAAGCTTTTTAAAAGCTTCATATAATTTAATTTTAACATATAAAGTTATTTTCGGCAACTATATTATAAAAATGCCACCAAAAATTTTATTTAATACTTATACGTGTGTAGCTAGCTGTACCCGTATGATATTATACATATGTATGTATCTATGTACATTGTATTTTATAAACTTTAAGCTGCAAATGTTATTTTCGAAATTTTCGCTCTCCCAACTTTATCTTGTTAAAATTAGCCCACCACTATACACACAGACCCAAACATATATGAACATAAATCCATACAAGTGGTTGTATGTATTTCTATCAATAATTCACTTACCTATCAATTGATATCGCCATCAGGGTAAATACTGAAGCACTTATACTTAGTGTGGCTATAAATTGTGATATTTTGCAATACAATTCACCAAAAGGCCAATCGTTGTCCAGCATATAGATGTAATTGAATGTAACATTTAGGCTTGATACCATGGCATCGGCTATCGATAAATTAA